AACTTCAAACCTGATAACGACCCGATACCCGATAAGCTCGACCCGCCCCGCCCCAAAATCTTTGGGTTTCGGGTTTTCCCGTCGAGTTCGGGTTTTTTTGCCATCCCTAGAGCTGACCTCGTACGTGAAGCGTACCCCTCGTACGCCCATCGTACGCGACTGCTCACCAGCTTTCCTATTAAGTGCATAATTCCTTAAGCACTCACGTCCTAATTTCAGATCCAGACTAAAAAGGGTGTTCTTAACCATAAAGTTTCCAACTTTATGGTTTAGCATGGCTATTAAGACCTTAACTCTAAAAACCCTAGTCTTTTAACCCATTAAGACAATCTAAAACATGCATGTAGAGAAACTAATGACCAAAACCACAACTTTATGACTTAACACCCCTTAAAACCTCTGAAAGGAAAACTCAAACGCCTTGGAGTACCTCATACTCACAAAGATCAAGTTTGGTACAAAAGGGGGGAACAACTTTGAGCTAAAACTAGATCCATAAGAATCATACACCAAGGTTGAAGCTTTTTACCTCCACAAGGTGCACAAAGGGGAGAAAATGCTAGATCCAAAACCTTGAGTGGAACACCACAACCTCAAGGTCCTTCCCTCTACTCCAAAAGCTCCAAATGACACCAAAAAGGGCTCTACAAGATTCACAATGCACCAACACACTTTAGGGTTTCAAAATGAGGAAGGGGACTGAATATAAGAGGGTACATGAGGCTATAAGTGTGTTTAAATAGGGTCCAAACCCTAAAATTTAGGGTTTGCACCCTGGTTGTGTACGCACTGTGTACCCTCATACGAGCAACGTACTAGCGTGGACCCGGGTACGTCCAGCGTACCAAGGTGTACGCCCCGCATACCCAATTTGCATCTGAAATTATGAAAATGCCAATGGGGATTAATTTTGAAATTAAAACATAACCCAAAGGTTAAAACGAATACTTGGAAAATTAGATGTTACAAAAAAGGGGCAAAGCACAACTTGGCTTAATTCAATAAGCACTTAATCTTAAAAACCTCTAGTCCAATACTTCCAGAAAGGTTTCTAGCATCATAAAAATAACATAAAAACCCATACTTTCCAGACATGCATGTCCAATGCATGTCTTAAACTCTTACTAGGTCAAGAATGAGGGTTTATGGCCAAAAATTCATGCATGACACCAAAACTCATTTCTAATCCAGATCGAAGGCACCAATTACTCCAAATGGCCTGGATATTCATAAAGTTGCAAACTTTATGAGATCTCACCACTCCAACCAACAAGAACATGAAGATTTAGGGACAAAACTCAAGATCTAGCAACCTATCATGATAAAATTCGAGTCTTGGACACTTACAATGGTCCATAAGAGTGCTATAACAAAGGGTGAGAACTTGCTTGCTGAATCATTGCTTACTTCTTCTTCTTTTTTCATTCAGTGGCTTCAAAGAACACCAAAAAGGGCTCAAACAAAGGAGGTAGGAGATTAGGGTTTCTTAGATCTGTAAGGAGTTTGATGGAGGTTAAGGGTGAGCAAACCCAAGCCTCCTCATTCCTTTAAATAGGGAGTAAAACCTGGAAAAGAGGGTTTGTCATTTGCCAACTGCCACGCCGTAACCATATATTGTTACGCTGTTGCGGCTTAAATGAACACGCGACCTTATCTTGATATGCCATGTCGTGGTGCATCCACCACGTCGTGGCAAACCCTAAAATGCCTTAAATCGAAAATGCAAGGTACCTCGAGATCCGGGTGTTACATAGAAGGTGCATGGCGCACACTCGGGAGTGATAAATTTGAACACGGAAATATGGGGGTCCGGGGGTATAGCCCATGGATGAATTTCTAAGAAGTTGTGCCTCTGGCGAGGTCTAGGGGCACCGACCCGAAACCTAAACAAATTTTTATATCTGGAAAAGGGTCCACCTATGCATATTTCCGCCAAAGTAGTAGAAATATCATGATGATGTCATTAGTTGGTTATGTCATAATAACCAACTCATTTTGGCGCCAAATGCATTTAACTTCTGTTAACCAACTTTTAACTGATTTTCTATCATCTATTTAAGGATGATTGAAGTTCCAAAATTCGGTTGGAATACAGATACTCGCAAATATCATTTGTAACACTCGGTTCCAGGTATGAATTAAGTTCTAAAGTCTTCATGATTCTCTTTGAACACGGCGTGGTGAAGCCCCACCACGACGTGTTGATAGGCCTTTGGGCCACGAATTTTATTGGACTAACACAACGTGTTTGTGTCATTACACGACGTGTTGGTGGCTGGTGGAGAAACCCTAATTTTTAGGGTGTTGCACCCTATTTAAAGGCCTTAAGTCCTCATGGTTGGCCTCCTTACCAGCCTCCATTGCCACTAAAACCCTAAAATCGATCCCTAAGCCTCTTGGTGGTGTTCTTGAGCTAGTAAGAAGTTCTTGATGCTCATTTTCGGTCTTTGTGAAGGAAGAGGAGATCTTGAAGTTGTCTTGCTTGGTGGAAAGGCCTTGGATCCAGAATCATCTTCTCTTGTGCAGGCTTTCTAAGGTATCAAGTTTGAACCTTGACTTATAGATGTTTAGATCTCCTCATATTGTGCTTTATTATGCTTTTGGTCCCTTTTTGAGTTGTTGAGAGATTGAAGTCGTTTTAAGGGCTTGTTATTCCAGATCTGAGTTTGTATTGGACTCCTTGAGCATAAATGTGCAAGCTTTATGAGATATTTGGTTATTAAGTCCCTTTGAAGCTTAAGAGCTTCATTTAGACATGCATGAATGTAAAGAAGTGGTCTGACTTCTAAATTGTCATTCTTTGGATTATCCCAAATCTGATTTCGTGACAATCGAAACTATATGGTTGAAATCACAGATTTTGGAAAGTAATTGAAATCACGATCCTAGAAATATCAAAGTAAATTGATATTCTTAATACCTCAAATTCTAGAGAGAGAGAGAGAGAGTGTGTGTGTGTGAACATGAAATGACTATTTTAACCTCATGTGAAGGGCACATGAGATCAAATAACATAAAAAATTTAACGGCTTTTGTGTTCACCGACCAAAATCGCAACATGGTTTTAAGGACCAAATCTACAAGTTGGAAAGTTATTGGAATAAAAAAAAAGATGACAATGCATAAGGATCAAATTTGCAATTTTATCTTTTTATTTTTCAAATATTTTTTTAGCCAAGGGACTGTTGGTGTGGGACATCCAATGTATTTAGGAAAATTTATGTGGTAACAATCTTTCTCCATAAAATTTCCTTTCTAAAAATAGTATTTTAGACTTTTAGTTCATCACAAAGTTACGTGGCGGATTATAGAGACACGTAGGCGAGAGAGGCAGCGGGTGCTAAGTGCTAACTCAGTTGCTTGCGAATCCTTTGGCTTCCCCTATCCGATCGATGCTTCTTCTAAACAACAAAAACAGAAATTCGAAAGAGGGGTTTATGCTGGGGTTTTGAACTTCTTCACTTGTTATTGCATAAATTGAACTCGCACTTCTCAAGATAAAGTTTTCTTCACTTGGGTATAGCAGAAATCGAAGCTATATTTCAAAATCACCTGCAACCGTTTTGAGGATTCGAAGGGTAATGAAAAGGAGTCGAAAATTCAATTAATGATTTTGAGCGTGGGTTGATTATTTATATAACAGACTGATGTTTAGAAGCAACAATTTAACAGCAAGGATATTTGAGCGTCAGATTCGAACCCCTTCTCCTGGCACCACTGTATGTATTCTCAAATCTCGATATTTCAGCTAATTATTGGTTTTGTGTGTTTATTATGCAAATTCTGAGCAAATTGTTAGTGAGTTTCGTTTTAATTTGCTTTTAGTGCATGCTTAAACATTGATTTTGTACATTTTGCTTTCAGTAGCTCTTCGGTTCTTCTTTTTATCACCGTTTAGGTCGTCTTTGGGTAGATCATTGACTTCGTATATGTTTCCTATATCCAATCCCCCAATAATAAACTTGTAATTTTTAAAGTTGGGTGCGATTAAGTTGGACTAGATTGTACTCTTTTGTACTACATAGGACCTTTTTTGGATAAAGCTAATAGATAACATTTTAACTCTACATCTAATGATTTCCAAGTAAAAGATGTGGCAACTACATTAAACTTTCAATGGATCAGTGTTAGCAGACTAACATTTATGTTAAATTTATGTAATTTTCATTGTTGAACTACTAATTTTGACCTCAAAAAGGCACAATGTATGTTGTTCATGAACAAGATGAAAAACTGATTATTATTACTTTTTTTAAAAAATATTTTTTGTCATGTTCCCAAATCAAGCTAATTGTTTAGAATTTGGGGAAAGAAAAGTGTTACCCCTTAATCAAGTCTTCATGTCTATAAATCAAGTTAATTGGTTGGAGTTTCTTATATGAAAAAAAGATAAACACTACGAGACTAAACAAACGTTCTAGGGCTATTTTTAATGATAAGAATGAGGAGGACATTCATGTCTTTTACACAAACAAGAGATCAAGAACAAGTCTCTATCCCACCTTTTTGGGTGAGACAAATAATACAGTTACATTTTTTGTCCCATTGACATCAATACTAGTCTTATCAATGTATGTCAAACACAGTACAAAGCTGTCTTGTCATGTTCTGTCCTATTCTGTCTTGTCTTGTTTACCTAATAACATGGATGTCTTGTCATGTTTTGTCCTGTTTACCAAACGCAGTACAAGGCTGTCTTGTCATGTCATGTTTTGTCCTGTTCTGTCCTGTTTACCTAATCACATGGATGTCTTTACCTAATCACATGGATGTCTTGTCATGTTCTGTCCTATTTACCAAACGTAGTACAAGGCTGTCTTGTCATGTCATGTTTTGTCATGTTCTGTCCTGTTTACCAAACGTAGTACAAGGTTGTCTTGTCATGTCATGTTTTGTCCTGTTCTGTCCTATTTACCTAATCACATGGATGTCTTGTCATGTTCTGTCCTGTTTACCAAACGTAGTACAAGGCTGTCTTGTCATGTCATGTTTTGTCATGTTCTGTCCTGTTTACCAAACGTAGTACAAGGCTGTCTTGTCATGTCATGTTTTGTCATGTACTGTCCTATTTACCAAACGTAGTACAGGGCTGTCTTGTCATGTTCTGTCCTGTCTTGACCTGTCCTGTTTACCTAATAACATGTGTACTTTCAGATTCACCATGCGAGGAGATTTTATGAGAATATAGTTCCCGGTTCTACAATATATGATGTGGAATGTCCGGACCATTCGTTTCGCAAGTTCACAGAAGATGGCAAATACTTAATAAGTTTCAGTAGAAACCATCAAGATTTAATTGTGTATCGACCCACATGGCTTACATTTTCCTGCAAACATGAAGATTGTTATGCTCAAGATCTTCCACCAAAAGCCAAGAAGTTTGAGAGTTTCTTCACTCAAATCTACTCGGTCCCACTTGCTTCTGCAAGTGAGCTCATATGTAAAGACTTCTTTCTTTATGCAGAGTCTAACCAATTCGGTCTTTTTGCTACTTCCACTGCACAAATTTATGATGCCCCAACTACCGGAGGTGCTATTCAAGGGGTTCCCTCAATTGAAAAAATAACATTCCATCTTCTAAGGTATGGTTTATAATTATATATAGGGATAAATGCAAGAAATAGCAATGTACTTTTGTATATTTATATATTATCGTGTAAAGAGTAAATTACACGAATGTTCCCTATGGTTTGGGGTAATTTGCATGTTTGGTCCCTAACTTATTTTTGTTAACTCTGAAGGTCCCTACTGTTTGTTTTTGTTGTGCGCTTGGTCCCTGTCTTACTATTTTGCCCTTGATTTATTAATTTATTTAAATAAACACACCCCCAATCCCACTTCCACCTCACCTTACCTTACCTTACCTACCCCACCTTATTTAAATAAATTAAAAAATCAAGGACAAAATAGTCTTTTTAGGTAAGACAGGGACCAAGCGCGCAACAAAAACAAACTGTAGGGACCTTCCGAGTTAAAAAAATAAGTTAAGGTCCAAACATGCAAATTACCCCAAACCATAGGGACCATTTGTGTAATTTACTCTAGTGTAAATTGCTTTGTATTTGGGTGATATTGCTATAATTAGGTAGATTTTTCGTTGTAGAAGGACTAAATGTGACTACTTTTAAATTGCTTTGTATTTGGATGATATTTCAAAGGGTGATTTAAATACTTTTACAAGTATTTATAGTTTGTTTTTAAATATGTATACATAAAGCAAACAATAACTTATGAAAGAAAAGTTATGTCATTTATCATTATTATGTTTTAAATCCTTTGACAAAATTTTAAACTAAATTAAAAAGATTGGAATTGTATTCCATTCCATTTCCAACCAATGAAACATGCGACACATTTCAATTCTTGCATATTCCAATTCCTTTTTAAAACATTCATCAAACTAAATGCAACTTATGCTTTTGTTGCAAACAAAGTATGAGAATGAATGATTTGTATTGATTGTGGAAATGTAAATGCTAACAAAACAATCATACTTAATAGTACTTTTTCTCCATTTTTTCTGCATTAAGTCATAAAGAAAGTAAGAAACAGAACCTAAGATGGTTTGAAAAGTTTGTGACTCAACATATATCTATTGGTGTTCAATTTGTTTTAAAATTTAATTGTATGTGAATATATTTGGCAGATTGGAAGATGGAGTTGTACTTGATGAGAGGGTTTTCTGCAATGATTACATAAATTTAGCACACAGCATGGGTGTTTTTTTATATGATGATTTACTTGCTATAGTCTCTCTTCGTTATCAACATATTCACATACTTCAGATTAGGGATTCAGGGACTCTTGTTGATGTAAGAGCAATTGGTGACTTTTGTCGTGAAGATGATCAACTTTTTCTCAATTCTAGTTCACAGGTAACCCTCCACATTTTTCTTATGACCAAAATACCCTTCTATAATGACAAAAAGTGGGAGATTCTGATTCTTGGCACTATGTTTTTTCATGAAAATACGCCAACATTCATCATGAAATAGCGTAAAGCCAGGGAAAAATCATCATTACTGAAGGGTATTTTGGTCACATGAAAGAATTGTCCACCAAAAACATATGACCAAAATACCCTTCAATAATGACAAAAGTTGGGAGAATATTGGCACTATGCTTTTTCATGAAACTACACTAACATTCATCATGAAATAGCATAAAGCCAGGGAAAAATCATCATTATTGAAGGGTATTTTGGTCACATGAAAGAATTGTCCACCAAAAAGATATGACCAACATACCCTTCAATAATGACAAAAATTGGGAAATTCTTGGTACTATGGTTTTTCATGAAACTACACTAATATTCATCATAAAATAGCATAAAGCTAGGGAAGTCATCATTATTGAAGGGTATTTTGGTCACACTAAAGAATTGTCCACCAAAAACATATGACCAAAATACCCTTCAATAATGACAAAAAGTGGGAGATTCTTGGCACTATGTCTTTTCATGAAACTACACTACCATTCATCATGAAACAGCATAAAGCCAGGGAAATCATCATTATTGAAGAGTATTTTGGTCACATGAAAGAATTGTCCACCAAAAACATATCACCAAATTACCCTTCAAATGTTGTTAATGATTTTGTAACCATGAAACTGGTCATATGATTAAATCTAACTAGAAAACCAGCCACAATAGGAAACACTACAATCAACTCAAGACATTTTTATATGAGAAATAGTTCTTGATGTAAAATGAGAACCAATTTACTTTATCAATTAATGGTAGAAAACCCTAAACCCTAATCCCTAATCCTTAAACCCTAAACCCTAAACTTGATTTATGTTGTAGGGTATGTCAAGTATTGAAAAAAGTGTATCACAACAACACATACCTGTTAATAATGCTGCAAATGTCCCTCATCTTGAACAAGTTGCTCAAGAAAATCCTTTCTTGAGTGGTATAAAACAAAGGCTACTTTCTTTCATTGTTAGAGAGATACGAAATGAAGAAGAAGATGAAACTATGGTTAGTTAGTTAGTTAATTATCATTTATCAATATTCAAATTCAAACTTTTATTAATTTCAATTTTTTCAAGACTTGTTACATTTGTTTTAATACTCATCTCTTATTGTTGATGCAGAGAATCCAATCCCTAAAGAAGAAGTTTTATTTTCACTTTCAAGATTATGTCGATTTGATTATATGGAAGGTGGGATGTAATAATTTTAGGGCTAAATGTTAATAGCAACATTCTTTAACTCTATTATTAATATTCTTTTTTTTTTAAATAGATGATAAGATTTAAAAACATCTTTATTTTTTTTTGAATAGGTGCAATTCTTGGATCGACATCACTTACTAATAAAGTTTGGGAGTGTTGATGGAGCAGTAAGTATATTTTTACATTCTTTTTCAAGAAATAGCAATGTACTTTCATTGATTTACTTATTATATTTATGAGTAAATTACACGAATGGTCCCTATGGTTTGGGGTAATTTGCATGTTTGGTCCCTAACTTATTTTTTTAACTCTGAAGATCCCTACAGTTTATTTTTGTTGCATGCTTGGTCCCTGTCTTACCTAAAAAGACTATTTTGCCCTTGATTTTTTAATTTATTTTTTAAAAAATCAAGGGCAAAATAGTATTTTTAGGTAAGACAGGGACCAAGCATGCAACAAAAACAAACTGTAGGGACCTTCCGAGTTAAAAAAATAAGTTAGGGACCAAACGTGCAAATTACCCCAAACCATAGGGACCATTCGTGTAATTTACTCTATATTTATATCATTTGTTTTTTACAACATTATACATTAAAAAATCTACCTTGTTGTAACAAATAACAATATCATTTAAATACAAAGCAATTTTCATATGTTATAATAATACACATGACTACAGGTGTCAAGAAATGCTGATAATCACCCTGCATTCTTTGCTGTATATAACATGGAATCAACAGAAATTATTGCATTTTATCAGGTACTTGTATAAAACTATTTCATAATTTTTTTTTTTTTTTTTTTTTTAAAAACTAAAAGCCTAAAAGGTATTTTCTCTAATTATTTTTTTAAAAATCTTGCAGATGTCCTCCGATAAGCTGTATTTGTTGTTTGAACAGTTTTGTGATCATTTTCATGTAGCATCAAAAAATTCCCCTTATATGAATTTTATATCATCTCATTCCAACAACATTCATGCTCTTGAGCAATTGAGAAGCAGTAAAAATAAAGCCACCAGCTTCTCCTTGGTAATATAATATTCTTTTTTTATTATCCTGTTACTAAAATACCCTTTGACTTTTTAGGTCAAACCAAATATATTGCAACATCGAAAACAATAAGATTTTTTACAATGTTTAAGGCTATAAAGGACTTTGTAGGGTTACTTTTCATGATAAATATGAGAAGGGCATTTACGTCTTTTACACAAACATGTCGGTCCTGTGTAACAAACATGTCCATAGTCGATTGCATGAATTTTATTAAAAAAAAAACTACAAAATCTGTACTTTGTTACACAAAAATACCGATGTTGATTAAAAAAGTATTCAATTTTGACCTCAAAAGTCAAAGAGTAAAGCTTTAATGAATTTTGACATTTTAATTTTGTTTTTAAATTTTTGCAGTTTGTTAAAAAAGTGATGGCTTCTTTACCATTTAATTGTCAATCTCAAAGTCCTTCACCTTATTTTGATCAATCATTATTTAGATTCGATGAAAAGGTTTGTCTTCTCTTTTCCTTAATCATCTATAAATTTGTAAATTCTTTATTAAGTTAAAAGAAATATCTATATCTATATATCTATATATCAATATATAATTCATATTTTTTTGCAGCTTATTTCTGCAGCTGATAGACATAGACAATCAACTGATCATCCAATCAAATTTATCTTAAGGAGGCCTCCACATACCCTAAAGTTCAAAATAAAACCAGGTATTGTTATACTCATTTCAAAAATAACAACATATTATTTTCATTTTTATTATTCCTTATTAATAAAATTTGAAAGTTTTTATTGGTTTATTTATTTATCAGGACCTGAAGCTGGCATTACAGATTGTAGGACAAGGAGGATATCTTCATTTCTTTTTCATCCAATTTTACCCCTGGCTCTTTCGGTTCAACAGTCTTTGTTTTTGCAACCTGCTTTTGTAAATATTCATTTCCGTAAATAACCCTGACTTTTATGAAAATGAAGGGTTTATTTTATTAGTATGAAGAAGAAAAAAAAGAAGCAATATCAATGAGTAAATCCATGGAGTATTGATGGCAAGATTTTTAACTTTATTCATCATTTCGGAATTATTTATATCCTTTGTTTATTAACATCTATTTTCCCAAAAATTGGGAGGGAAAGATTAAAATTATAAAGAGGGTTAATGTTTTTATTAGGTTCTGTTTGATTGGTTGGATTCAATAGAATAGAAATAGTTTTTTTTTTTTTTAATAAATAAATGCTTTCACTTTTTATGTATTATTTAATTATAATTAATGAATCTAACTACACAATGAGAACTCATTGAAATCAAAATAAGTTTACAATAAAAAATTAAAAATATATAAATGTTCTAGTTATTTTTAGAAAATCAAATAGTAATCTGTTAACGTTCATGAAATTTGAATTTATGTGATTACAATTGGATAATTAAAACAAGTTCATGAAATGAGAAATATGTGTTAATGAACTGTAATTAACAAAAGACTAAACTGCACAAATGGTCCATGTGGTTTGCTGAAAATTGTCACTTTGGTCCAAAAAGGTTTGGACTAGCACCACAGGTCCAAAGTTTTCATTTTGTTGCGAGTTTGGTCCGATTTACTTTGAACTTTTTTTAAATGATGATTTTACCCTTGCTTTTGCTTTTTCAATTTATTTATTTTTTTTGAATATTTGTATGATTAAAAAAAATAAAAAATACCTCTCTTTAAACCCCAAAGAACACTAAACCAGTGGAACACCACCATCACCTTCAATTGCAACGATGAAATCTATAGGATGTCATCTCCCACATTCCCACCCTCACATACCTTCTGCCTCTAGTAGTATCTCCCATAAAACCCTCTGGTTTTGAAAATATATTTAAGAAATCTGGATTTTTTTTTGCCAAAATTATCAAGAAATCGACCATGGTGGAATGAACCCACATAAATTGGG